ATTGGAACGACGAGGTCGAGGAAATGAATCAGCAATGTGAGGCGATTGGCAACAAATGTTTAAAGGTGTCATGATTCTTACACACTGGTAAAGGTTCTGCCAAAAATTCGAGCCAATTTTAGGTCTATTATGAAGGACTTCTTCTTTACCCTGAAACGCAAATACCACGTGTGTTAAAGTTTCTTGGTCTATCCACATCACCCAATATTCTCAAGATGTATAAGGCAAGGGAATTTCTTTGTTAAAAGAAGAATCTTTATATAATTGACTCCATCACATATAGGTAATGGAACCGTCTACCGTGAATAAATTATCAACATGGGTCAAAGCATTCCCGGACGACGTTTTGCGAGACGCTCATAAAATTGCGCCGATGCTTGAAAAGCTTGGTTATCGTAGGATATCACCGCATAAAGGTACACCTAAATTTTTGTTTTTCGGCAAAATAACATGAGTTCATTGTTAAGCACTTCCTTATTCACTAATTATGCTCAATTTCAATTAATTTCTTGATTTACTTGCTGAAAAAAAAGAGAGCTTTTAAAATGAAGATAGAAAACGGCCAAAGATGCTATAGATTTTAAAATTCTACAATTCTTTTTCTTCAATTTCTCACCTAATATGTAAATTTCGTGTATAGGTTATGCGGAAGAAGTATCTTCTCAAAAGGCGGGAAACAAAGAAAATAGATAAAGTTTACTGTACGTAGCCCTCCCATGAAGGTTATCATAAGTTTGTGAGTTATAGTGTACCTTTTCTATACTAATTCAGATTTCCTCATCTCGATATATTGTATGCAAAATGATTTTTAGAAAAATTTGACAAAGTTGATTGTTTGGGATTACTTATTTAATCATTGAGTTGCTCCTTATTAAGAATCCCATTGGGATAGCCATGGCTCAAGTTTTGAGAGTTAGGGTAACAAATATGCTGTACTGGGTGAGATAAGCTATTTTGGATTAGCGAGTATTTGTGAGAAGACCTAACATTGTTGTTTCCTGAATGTTCTGATAGTTCTAGTTTTGTGTTTTTCTTTTTATGAATTGTGTATCTGTGATATAATTGTGCATTTGCTTAGATGAGTGTTTTTCTACAGTTGGGTTATATATACTTTCTTCTATCACAAAAAAATACTTCATATTTAAGTCATGGATTTCTTACTCCGTCTGTAGCGTTGTCGTTTCATCATTGAAAAACAGAAATTGCTTAAAAGTTCTTATCTTTCTCTTGGTTTTCATTGATGATTTCATTTAATAGTCTTTTATTTCAAAATCTGAGTTATTGTCTTTTTAGATGTTTTTTTTTTTTTGAATGGTGATGATTTTTTGGGCAATAAAGTGACTAATAAGTGAAAGATTGCTGGAAACAATGGCAATTGGTCCCACC